TCAGCAGAGCATTGCTGGGAAATCTCATCTGTAATCTCACGACATCGTAGGGAAAGGCCTTTTCCTCCCCTGAGATGATGTGCATGGTCACATGTCCTAATCACATGTGCCAGAGTTCCAGGAAGTAAAGGGAGGTATATTAAAGGAGAACTATGAGGTGAGTGCTTTTCACTCACCTCATAGTTCTAGCCGACCTGTGACAAAGACTGTCACAGGTCGGCTCAGTAGATCGGGAGGTGAGCGAACACATACTGGGGTTCGCTCACCTCTCCATCCTGTCACGGCTCTCTGCCGTGACAGGGGAGGGGCTGGATTCCCCCCTTCCTGCTCCGACCCGCCAGCGCTGACTGGCGGAACGGACGGGGGAGGGGGCAGGTACAGCTGGCTCTGCCTCAAGATAGGCAGAGCCAGCTGTCAGTCACGCAGCTGGGCGGATCCCGGAACGATTATCGGGATCCGCTTCAGCGCCTCAGTATACCGCGAGCAGCTGCTCGCGGCATACTGCGGCGTCTCAGTATACCGCGAGCTACAGCTCGCGGTACACTGAGCCTAGGGTGATGGGGAGGACGCTAGTTTGTTTCCTCCCGTTACCCTAAGGAGAACTATGGTGAAAAGACTTAACCCCATAGTTCTCCTTTAATCGGTCCTTAGTAAAAATGGCCACCGTGAGAAGAATGGGGAAGAAAAGAGAAATAAGGTTTGCAGAGAATACAAAGCCGGCAAACATCTAGAAGTATCTATTTGTAGATTGTCATTACTAAACATTTCTAAAGGGTCTTATTTAATTATAAGGGTAAAGGGTTGATTTCCCCTCATTTCCCGATACTATAGAAAATCTTTCAAACGGGCACACAGACGCAAAGGTGGTTGTAGTAAAGTGGGGAAGGGTAAGAACTTCCGCCATTGTTTAAAGCTGCCCATACACCTTGCGAATATTGGACGACGCTTTTCCTCTGATGATCGAACCGGCGTATGATTTTATTACAGTGGCCCCATCCTGCCCCGATTATCGCAAGGTTGGATCAGCAGTAATTAGAAGAAAGCACCTGGACAAATTGTGGTAATTGCCCACACGTATTTTTGTCTGCGCATGAGCAGTGTTAATCGTACAAATTTTGACGTACGGAAACCCCACCAACCTTGCGCAAATCGTGTGATCGACCGAAGTTTTCTAGCCTGCTGGTTAGTCAGAAGTTGATCGATTGTACAGTATGTGCGGTTGTACACTGCCCACCGTACGAATACCGGACGAAAACGCGATCGCATACGTATTTCGTAAGGTGCATGGGCAGCTTTAGTTGATGTTTATTCCTGCAACAGTTGCTTCCCCAATTTCTTGTGCAGGAGTGATAGAAACATGAAGTGTGAGGAAAATGTCCCCAATGGGGTCACAGACAAGCCAACTTCCTGCACTCTATCCAAAACGATATATATATATATATATAAAATAAATTCTTCTGCCTAAATTGGGCCGGCATAAAACCTATTTATAAATGAGTCAGTGAACTGAAGGGTGTTTTGTATATTTGCCTGGCCTTGTTGTATGAACAAAGTATCACACACCCTGAAGTAATGACACGGCACAAAGTTTACACAGAAAATTAAGCCAACGCGTCCCAGAGCAGAGGCGGGCCAAAGTCATCACTATGCAAAATGTATACAAAACATCCGACCCACCTTGGCAAAATCTGACTTTTCGAATGATTCACTATAATGTCAGGCAGCTATTCTTCCATTGCTGACTATTTCAGGTTTCAGAGGCTCCATCTAGTGTCCAACAAACGCTCCAGTCATTTAAATTGTAGCCTCACTGTATGTAATAAAGATGTCAAAAAAAAATGATATATAGATATGTCTATCTATATAGATATAGATATATATCTATATATAATTTTTTTGGCATCTTTATTACTATCTATCTATATACAGTGATACCTTGGTTTACGAGCATAATTCGTTCCGGCAGCATGCTTGTAATCCAAAGCGCTTGTATATCAAAGCGAATTTCCTCATAGGAAATAATGGAAATTCAGATGATTTGTTCCACAAACCAAAAATATTCATATAACAATGATTACAATACTGTAATATAATACTGTACAAAATATAAAGAAAAATAAACCAATTACCGGTTACCTTCGTGGCCGGTGTGAGGGGGACGAGAGAGAGGAGGATTATTGTGTAGGACGACTTCACTATCACTAGCGGAATCACTGCTATCTCTTGACTCAATGGAATCTTTTTCATTTCGTGAAACCTTAAGAAGGAATCTATTCAATGTGACATTGCATTGTCGTTAAAGAGACTCATCGCTCGCACAGCTACAACCTTATTCGGGTGGCGCTTTTCTACAAAATTTTGCTCTTATAGCAAGACATTGCTTGTATATCAAGGCAAACTTTTCCAGAAATGTTTGCTTGTCTT